AAAAACCTCTCAAAAAAAAAAAAAAAAAAGAATCATGCACGCACGCATACACTCACCCTGTGATTTTCAATCCACTGGGTCCAGAACTTGAACCACCCAGTTAATCATGTGAGATCCAGCCTCCACACCACCTGTTGGCCCACAACAATAGATTTTTTTTAAAAATTATTTTATTTAACTTTATTTATTTATTTAAATTTGACCAGAGAGAGACAAAGTGTGTATGAGAGAGAGAAGGAAAGTGAGAAAGCAAGCCGCTGGGTTTAGGACTAGAACTGTTCGGGAATTGAACTGTTGTCGGCCATGTGGGAGTTCAGCACCCTTAACCACCACACCATCTGCTGGCCCCATGACAATAGATTTTTTTTTTTTTTTTGGAGAGTCTTTTACTAGAGGGACAGACAGAGAGAGACAGAGAGACAGAAAGCGAGAAATCACCCCCCAGGGGGGATGGCCACGTCGCAATCCCTTCTCCTCCATTCTCCTCTCGGGATCTTGGGCACGCACGCACACGCGCCTGGCATGAGTTTTAAGCCACCGGGTCCGGTATGCGAACCGCGGTCGACTGCATGGGAGTCCAGCATCATAGCCATTTTGCTAACTGCTAGCAGGTCCCATGACAATAGATTTTTATAACATCTTACGTATGATAAGCTAATTCCTGGGCGAACATGGGCTTGGAGGAATTCTTTTGCTTATGCCTGAGCTTCTTGTAGCAGAGATAAGATGTGACTTAGTAAATATAACAGGTAAAACAAGGCTCTGCTCTTTCTCTCACTAGGATGTGATCAGCTGGGTGATGGTCTAGTAACAGGTAGACTCCAGAGCAGAGAGTTCTCTTACTGGGGCCCATGAACTGCCGGGGTTGCCTGGGCAGTGTGTGGGCCTAAGCCTGAGACATGCTCAGCCTTTCTGTACTTTGGAAGCAGTTGACTCTTGGCCCCTCGGTTCCCACCTGTGCCGGGGAGCCCTGCATGTACACATCAGGTACCCACGTGCCACCTACTCAGGGTCAGCTGCTGCTTCTCTCACTGAGGTGGGAGCTCAGGTCACACGAGGTAGCAGGCCTAGCCAGAGTGGGATCCTCATCTGCAGGATGGGGGACAGAGTCTACCTGGACTACTTTACTCACCTAGGGCCATCGGTCCCCTCAGGGCTGTGCCGGCCTGGTGAATACTCTGCGGATGGCTTTGCACCTTGCCAGCTCTGTGCCCTGGGCACGTTCCAGCCGGAAGCCGGCCGTACATCCTGCTTCCCCTGTGGAGGAGGCCTCCCCACCAAACATCTAGGAGCCACTTCCTTCCAGGACTGTGAAACCAGAGGTGAGCACTTGGCACTTTGCCTTTGTTTAGAACCAGCTTCCCCTCTGGAATATCGTAGGAGTCTGGTGACACTCTGATTAAGCCCAGCCCTGAGTGCTCTGCAGTGCTCCAGTGACTAGGGGTTCAGGTCCTTAGCTCTACCCACCCTGTAGTGTGCAAGGAGCACTAGGGCTCCCTGGACAAGGTCTCCCTAGTCACCTTGGCTTCTTCAGACAGGGCTGGCAAGGGCTGCTCAGGGCCTGGTGCTTGGGTTTTGTGCCAGGCTTCCTCAGCTCCTTTGCTCCAGCCTCCTCACCCCAGCACCCTGACTAGAGTCTCCCATCCCACACATGTCCTACCCCTTCCCCGGAGCCCCACTGCAAGCCCAGCCTCAGAGCTGCAAGCCGGCCTCAGAGCTGCGCCCCCTTGACACATATGCACGTGCTCTGCATGAGCCCTCGAGGTGTGGTGATGACACCTGACTGCATGGGCTGTGAACTTCGGCCTTTGTATTGTTCTGGTCATGTGTCCCACTCAAACTGGCTGTTTAGGGAACTGAGTGTTAGGTAGCCCCAGATAGGTAGGGAAGCACTACTTCTTTTGGGTGAAAAAAAAAAAAAAAAAGATACAACAACATTTATTTATCTTTAAAC